AGGAATATTTGGTTAAGAGTGGGGCAATGAAACACGGGAGGGCAAGTAAGGGTGGTGGTGGAAATGTACTTGCATAAACTTCATAGCATCTCTGCTTATTTTTGTAATCAAACGGAATAACTTCCCTAAGGACTTTGTGAAACCCTAATTGTTTAATGTTTTAAATTAGTCAGATTTTGCTGTTTTGTCTGTAGTGTAGTGTTTGTATCTATGTTTTAACATGAACATTATCAGGGAGAAATAATCAAGCATAGGTACAACTTTTGTAACTAAATGGAAAACAATGTTTGCTTTGGAATATAGGCGCACAGATAAAAGAAGTCGATTTGGTTTGGTACGGTTCCTATGATTGTATTTATTTGAAGTCTTTGATTACATACATATTTAGAAGATTAGAGTGGGCTGGTTGACTTTTTTGTCCAGGATGGATGCTATGGCCATTTAGTAGAAGTCATCTTCTGTTATTAGGTTATTTTCATCGATCTGCATCTATATCTTAATGTGGAGACAAGTTTTGTTTCTCTACCTGTGGCTTCAGGTTGAGATAGCTTGAAGGTGGAAAAACACAGCTTTGTCGACATGGCTCAACCAGAAAGTAAAATTCATCACCCAATAGCAGCCTTTGAGGGTCTGTTGCAATTTGTGATTTTGATTAGTAACCCCGCTAATAATTAAAATTTGTGATTAATTAAGTTAAATTATCAAGGTTTAGCTTCTTCTTTTTCTTTCCTGCCACACAAGGCAAAGTGTGTATCTTTTATATCTATTGCACTAAGCAGCAGGTTTAGAGAAGGGGAGTGGCAAGTGATATATAGAAACCATTCTTCCTCTTCTGGTATGGTGAAGTGGCTTAGCTCTGCCTTGCACTATGTTAAAACTGCAGTTTGAATGGAATTATTTAAATTGTTATGCTTGGACATGTATGGATTCTACTTTTTATTTTATTTTAAATTATTGAAAGCTTGTAGCTGGCTGGCACAAGAATCTTAGAAAGAAAAAGCACACATGCACCTATTTCAAATAGAAAAATGTGCCTCCATCTTGGATTCAGTCTTTTCTAAAATTCTTCTTAGTTTTGTTACACTTCAAAATGTATGCTGTATGTGCCTTGAAGGCACAGAATGACATGGCTTGTTCATCCAATCCCAGAAAATATAGTGAGATTGTTCCTCTCCTGATGACCTTGCAATTTATGTTGCCTCTTAATATCTGACCCACATTTTGTCCATCATTCAAGTTTGCCTTTCATCTATTTGGTGTAGGATGCCTCTTTTGCTTTTTAAAAAAGTCCTGGTTTAGTTTTTGGCATCTACAGAAAGGCCAAAAATCTGGAGAGTTGTTGCTAGCATGTTAAAATCTCTCTTCAACTTGGGCTTTCTCCAAAACTGTAGATCTCCATGTCCAGAATTCATAGATATCATATTTATTACTGAGAAATTTACAGATAAAACTTTTAGAGGGTGCCCAGACTGGAGGAGAGAAGTTTGCATTATTAATAATATCATCCAACTGGGATAAAGGTGTGATCTAAGGGATTTTCTTACATATCTAGTTCTTGCAATATGTGCTTTATTATGGAAGTTTCTGAAAAACCAAAAAGATACTTTTTTAAATAAATAGAACTGAGGGTCTGAGTGTTCATATTTGAAAACTGGAAAGACAGACGTGGGATATCCTATAGTTTTGAGGGAGACATTAGAGGGGAAAACTGTCATAAAAATAGTTAGGCTAAATCTTTCTCCCTAATCTGTTTCTGATTCTAGATTTAACTAAGTGGCTACTAGTTCCAAATTGACTTGATAAATATGAAGACAAGTTCTCCAGAAACCGCATTCCTGCTATATAGTTTTTAATTTTTCTGTATTGTATTTCTGATTGCATGAACCAGGATTATAGTCAATATGTGCCCTGTTGAATACTGGCTTGGCCAATGGTCAAGCCAGTATGGTCATAACTCACTACTTAAAACTTAGCTGAGATCGGTTGGTCTGTACACTTGTCACATCTTTGTGATTGTGTAATTGAATCTCAATAAGAACAGGCTGCTCTCTAATCTGAAAGCCCGTGGCCAAATTCACAGCAATATATAAAGCCCTTAAAAAAGGTGTTATATGAATTCTGAGAAGTTTGATTGTACATTGTAAAGCATGTACATCCGTTCACTAGTTGTGTAGTTCTGATACATATTTGCTATTTCTCCATGATGAATTTTTCATATATAATGTTTTTACTTTGGTGTGTAGGGGAAAAAGGGTTGTATGAAGGTCAAAAATAATGTTTTTCTGGACGTAGTAACATGCGAGATCCTAAATGATGTACACTAAACAAAACAATTGCTTGCATGATCTCTATCTATGGGTCTACATAGTAGTAGTCTCCAACCTGAAATGCTGGAAGTGCAATTACTAAAATTGTCATGCTGCCTGCCAATTTGAGGAAGGCTTCTGCACATAGTTTGTCTATATGAGAGAGCATTCAACTCTCTATAATACTTGAAGCTTGTATATTTTCTCATTGGGAAGAGATTCCAAAGCTATAATGGCTTTTGCCATGGACTTGCTAATTTGTAAGATAGATATCAAGTGAAAGGACAGATGGGCAAACTGGAGTTGTATAGCCTATAGCAGATAGGACAAAATTGAACTACTAGTAGATGGGTTGCGGGCTTTGGAAATTTGGAAACAACTGAGACATTTTTTCTTGTGTCAAGAATCAGATCCAGGAAGCCAGCATTCTTGAAAGTACCATTCATTGAACCATTGAGCTGATTCTTTTATTTACTGGCCATAAAAGCAGGAGCATTATGAGCTTGTACTTTAATTTCCTGGCTGGAGAGTTAACTCTTACTCATATAAAAGTTATTAATGTCTGATCCAAAACAGAAAGCCTGATATATGTTATAATTGTGGGAATTGTATTGTTCTGAGGAAAGTGTGCAGGACTATAGCTGTGTGGTTGCCTATTTCAATTTATGAATGGGATTGTTTGTTATGGGACGCAGAGAAACAGGCTCCTACCCACACAGCCTCCTATGCCAGTTTGAAGTGAGCAATAACCTGTACAGGTCTAAGCAACATCACCTTAGGTCATACAGCTCAGTAACAGTTGTGAACCTTGTCTGTCCACCTCCTTCTGTTGTTGTTTTTTTTCTCCCCCAGGAGACTGGCAGTTCTGTGATAAGCTCCAGACAGAAACTCAGAGTGACTTTCAGATTGACTCACCCAGTAGGGGTGGGGAAGTGCTGTGCAAACAAGTGTGGTTGCAAAGAGGAAGGCTTGGAGTCACCCTGGCTGCTGGGAAAGCAGTAAAAAGTCATCCCTACCATATAATGCTCCAGTTTTGAATGGCCCATCCGGGCATCTGCGATGAGGTCTCATGGTCATTTCTTCCAATGCGGGAGTTGTTTGCTTAGCCCTTCCTGCCAACCTTATGGTGTAGCTTCTATAGCTTCTACTTTTTGCTATGGGTGGGGGGAGGGAAAGCAGAAGTGAAATGATTGGCCACGTGGCATCATCACAAAATTAGAGATAACATGTAAGGGAGATAAGAATTATCTCTCTTCAGCAAGTTTTCTTTCTCTGTGTCTCCCTACTTCCTCTCTCTCTCTCTCTCTCTCTCTCTCTCTGTGTGTGTGTGTGTGTGTGTGTGTGTGTGTGTGTGTAATATATATATATATATATATTTCTCACTCTGTTCTGAATTAACTTAGAAGCACTTCCCCTTCCTACAGTTTTTAGGTAATAATACTGAATTATTATATGTATAGTATCACTATAAAATGTTAACTTATTATTGTTAATTCTAGTTAAGGTTCTATGCAATCTTGGTGACAAGATAATTTAAATTTGTATTCCATGTGAATTGGATTATTTAAATTTACATCTGAGATTATCCCTTTTCATATCCTTCATTAAATACTGTATGTTTAACAGGTTTACAGAAAGCAACTTCTCTTTATGTTAAGACTGTAGCCCTCCAGATGTTTTTAAATATAAACTGCTAGCAGCCTCATTCATTGTAATAAGTTCTAATGGCCTGTGGGAGTTGTAGCTCAGCAATAATTAGAAGTCCAAAAGCCTTTTTATTTTGTTTTGTTGTGAGGTTGTGTGCCAGATCCACTGAGACACAGTTCACAAGGCATCATACAACGTTCATGCAAAAAGAATCCACATAGTTCATGTTTAGGTTTCTAATGAAAACCAAGAAAGTCCAGTTGCCTTTTGGAGATGCACCTTTGGGACATCCATAACCTGGAAGATTGAGAATCTCCATAGACATTGTCACAGTCAAATGATTTCTCCTTACTGAATAAAAATTTTTGGAAGGTGAGAATAGAATAGAATAGAATAGAATAGAATAGAATAGAATAGAATAGAATAGAATAGAATAGAATAGAA